TTGAATTGAATTCAGATAAATAGGGCTTAATAAAGTCGAAAACGGTGCAACGAATCGTCTTCTTTCTATAATAATTAAATCAAACGTCTAAGCTTTTCGCGCTTCGCGCGGGAAGGGGAAAGTGAATTCAGACAAGGATTAACAGTCGAGAACGGTACAGCAAATCGTCTTCTTTTTATAATAATTTAATGAAACGCCAAAGCTTTCGCGCTTAGCGCGGGAGGGGGGGGGGGATTCATACAAACAAGGGTTCACAGTCGAGAACGGTACAATTAATCGTCTTCTTTTCCTAATAATTTAAGAAAAAGGTCTAAGCTTCCGCGCTAAGCGCGGTAGGCCTATCACCCACATCCCCCGAATGAACGCACTTCGCGCGCTCTTTGAGTGATTTGCCTGCTCACTACCGCCCCTCCCTAAAATGAGATCCTAGCTCCGCGCCTGCATTAAAATATATAGCTATGATGCCGACTAAGTTGACAAAATAATTCGTATATTTATGTCGTCGAGGAAACTGACCATTTGCGCATACGCAAGTACTATAGATAGTCGGTAGGAAAAACAATTTAGCCTTCGGCCCCGGGTATATAGGGTTTAATTTGTAAATATTGGGACATTTATTTTTGTCGGTAATTGGGGGCTAGTTTTGTCAGTAATCGTTGGACTGTACACCCCCTACCTCCACTAAAAAAAGGTCTCGCGACGCCCCTGACCATTATACATCATTTTCTAAGAGATGGGACTCAAAATAAAGAGTTTGCATCTTCCTGACGAAATACTCAATCTTCATGTTACTACTTGAAAGTGTGTCCTCTTATTTCGGAGCTCATTATAATAAAACACTTCAGTTTGCAGCTGTCAGTGTCAGTATTTCGAAATATGTCCAATTCTTTTACTTTATGGTTGTCAAATTTGGCATGTGCGTAAATGTATGTATGCTTGTATAAATTTATGTACATGTGTTTGGGTATGTGTGTGTTTGTTGTTTGTTCGTGTGTTTGTTGTTGTTCGTGTGTGTGGGTGTGTGTGTTGTGTGTTTGTGCGTGCGCGATCGCGCGCGCTTGCGTAACTTAGTGTGGGCGTGTGCTAGTGCTAGTATGTGATGGCTATCGCCGATCATTCCCCCCCCCCCCCCACTCCTCGGTACGGATTTACGCCCCTGCGCCACTGTAAATGGATATGACAACAAAAGTATCAATAAAGAAAGAAATTTTTTTTTTACCTATGTAATCAGCGAGTGGTCCATAACCTATAAGCTCGAAACGAAGACTTGGTGATCCAACGTACGTGCGAGGGTGAAGTCTAATGAAGCGCGCCATCAACGGAGGATGAAAGGAATGCTCAACAGGGGTCGCATGTCTAAAATTTCCTTGAAATACCTGACAAAGTTTTCAACCAGATTATTAAAATAGAATGAGACATCGGATCGGAGATTTTTTAGTTTTCTTAAAATCAACTTACAAAAATCAGAATATTTCATATAAGACAGTTTAAAAATAATTGTATTTTACAAATTGCCCGGTTTTGCAATAACATGGAGGGTTCTTTCGGATTGTAGCAAATGCTACCATTATTAACAGGTTGAAATAAATAATTCCTCATCGGCCATTTTGGTTCTTGCTTTTGGAAGATTTGTTATGATTGATTTGTAAGGTGGTCTAGGGGGAAGCGTGGAAAATAAGAGTATTTAAGTGAAGTTGAACCCTAGAGTATTCATATTTGAATATCAAAACTTTCTTTTCAATTCAGTATTTATGGGCTTATCACCCTTCAACCGGACTACTACCTTTGATTTTCTTAATTTTTTACAGAAAAGTCAGCGCATGATGATTCAATAGCCATGTAGATAAATCACTTATTCCAGTGTGAGAACATTACGTGGACTATTCCGTAATCCAAAAACGATTTCTGCAGGATATACAATAGGTTGTTAAGATTTTTGCCCGCGTGCTGATTTATCGCAAGTCTTTACAATCTTGACAACCCCAACCCCCATCTAACTTCAAATTAATTATTATTCGCCTACCGTAGCATTAGAATACGTGTAAACATCCCTGTAGGGTAACCAGGTGTCGGTATCCAAACGGAATGATATTGTATAAGAAGTCGTACTGTCATCAAGAGAATGGTGACTCTGGGTGACAACCCCGGTGATCATGTACAAGGATTCCAAATAGATCTGAATCCATGGGCTGGTGTAGTCGTTTGCAGCCGGTATCCAGGTCGCGTTGGAGTGTAGGCGCCCGGCGGTGCTGTCACAATCAAGCGATGCATCACAACTTGATTTAGTAATGGCCGAATCGGAAATAATGCCGGAACTAATCCCCAGAGGCTCCCCTTCAGGTCCGCAAACAAGAGCTGTTCGTACATTATTTGGAGAATAACAGCAAGCAAAATATTTCGTTAGTACGTTTTGGTGTAACACCAACAAGCAATGTTTTGTTTGTAATGGGACAGAATGCACGAATGAACTCTACAATTTAAAGTGGTATACGAAAGCTGAGGGGTTCACGAAGATATGCAAATATTTTTGTTAAATTATATACTTATCATGAATCAATAAAGTCAGTATCATGTCGACTGAACTTTAATAAAGTTTATAATGCAACTTTGACACTTCAAAAGTAAAAAAAACTGTAGAGCTGCTAGATGCAGTACAAATGGGGTCGTTCGATAATAAAGCCATACTCAATCAAGAAACCTGAGAGGAATTAACAAATGAGTTTTGAAAAAAGTGAGGGAAATCTTTCTTTAGATAGGATCCGCATTATAAAAACAAGAACATTGGAAAGGGAAAAGAAGATGATAATGATGATGATGATGATGATGATGATGAAGGATAACAAGATGAAGGAGGAGGAGGAAGAGGCCTGATTCGGACAGCAAGTGACACAATCCGAATATAACTCTTCGTGTGCATAAGCTATGAAGCATAATACTCACATGTACAGCAAACCACTGCAATGATCATATCACTGCTTACACCATCCCTTGGTCTGGATTCGTACCAGCATTCTGAAATGTTCCTCGCATCCTGATCACATCGTATAGCACCGTACTCTACACTGGCATTGGAATCAGTAGTGTTGTACACATTGCCACTCAATGTAGCATAGGCTCCCCTAATATACCCAAGGTGCTGGCAGACCAGATGGGACGTATTCATGGACCAGGCCTCACTTGTAAATAGTTTAACTTGGGATGGAGAATCATGGCTGGTGAAGCCCACTCTCCCTTCGCTGGTGCTATGAGTGGATCCATGTAAACTCACAGATAGGATAATAGTGACTGAATTGACGAAAATAAGATAACGTTCGTGTTATAAAGAAAAAGGCAAAGTGTACTTCATATAGTGGTTTCCAAATCGAAGAGCAAGATTGATTTTATCTCAATGAATCACTTGCGACCTGTAGTTCTTCTTGGTTAAACATATGCTACCCACCAATTTTACTGGTATGGCACGCTATTGTCATTGTTCTGCATGGTTACATATACTTGTGTATTTATATATCAATGTAAACAGTGACAATTATGATAGGAATACTCTCTTTGAAAATGTTTATGGATGGTGCTTACTTCAGTATTCGGGCTGGAAACTCAGTGACCGGAGGTATGTATTATCCAGGCGAACGCCCCCTAAAAACACCACCTTCAAAATATCAATTCTGTCTAAAAATTAAGATTTTATTAGAGCAGCCTTTGCCTTTCCGACAAATTCGTAGGACACCCCCTCGACACACACACACGTCCACGCTCATTCATGCCCATTCAAGTCCATGCCCCTGTACGGACTTCTTCTTGATTCATGGAAAGAAAAGGAAAGGAACTTACATTTTTCGCAACTGTTGCCGCTATATCCGTTTGGACAGGAACAAGCAAATCCTTCAAAGGTTTCGTTGCATGTCCCTCCATTGAGACAAGGATTGCAGAGACATGCTGTGGGAGAAGGGATATGGGTGTGAAATAATGCTTCTTGCACAAGATGCATCAGTTGCGTTGCGTTATTACCTGTGCTAATAAAGCTAACTTTTCGTTATATGTTCCTCCATTGAGGCGCGGATGTCAGAAACATGCTATGGGGTAGAGCTATACCTGTTCCACATAGCCGGGTCTTAAGTCAGTCGCGTCATATCCTGCGCCAATGAGCCTGTATAATACTTCACCTTACGAAGGGTCACTTCAGATGCGTTATCACATGCGCTAATGAAGCCTAAAACGATTGCGTTACATGCTCCTCCATTGAGGCACGGATGGTGGGGGCATTGTGAGGGAGAAGGGATACGAGTTTAAAAATAATACCTGCTGCACACAAGACGTCATTTGCCTTGCGTTATTCTATGCGCTGTTGAAGCCTGTCAAGGATATTTAGTCTACACGCTAGTAATTTATCGCAGTACTAGTGTGTGAATTGTTGATTTAGCAATTATTTTTTGTATCATTGGCCATCACATGACGTGTCACAGACTCCACAAGTCACTGAAACAGTTCTACGTGAGGCATCACTAATAATTGGCTTGATTTGCAGAGGTCATAACGCAATCTATGCCTTTGATGATGATGATGATGACGCTGATGATGATGATGATGATGATGAATATTGAATTGAATTTTTTTTAATCCACAAGGTAGTTAAAGGGCTGAATTACATGGAGTTTACAAAGTAAAATCACAACAAATAAAATGTCTTACAAATCCATACATCGATGATAATGAAGAAAATGATAATAAATAACGAGATGATAATCATGTTGACAATAATAATGACGAAAATGTTAATAAATAATGAGATTGTGATAATAGTGGTGGTAACGATAGCATTATGATGATGGAGATAATCTGAAACGATCTGTGGTGTCAGTCATATTTAAAAGGAACGGCAGCCATCATGGCCGTCTTCTAACATATATAGCTGCCTACCTGGTTCTGTGCAAACTTGATGGTAGACGGTCCTGTTATTTGAAAGGCTGAACAGAGTCTTTAGTTCGTTCGGAGCCCCTTTCAGTACGTACTCTATCACATCGCCTTCCACAGAGGTCCGGGTTGGGCATTTTATGTTTGTCAGGCAAGGCTGCTGAACGTCTGTAACGCGTGTTATTAAAACATCGATACAACTCTCATATTAACAAAAAATAAATATTTAAATATTATGATAATAATCAAAGGTCGTGGGTTCGATCCGTGGCATGGCACTTACGTCATTTAATAAGCAAACATTTCATCTACATTGCCTCTCTCCATCATGATGTGGAATGGGTACCCGATAGGATGCGAAATGCATCGTAGTTTGCTGAGCATTGTGAGGGTCTGTAAAATGGCGGCTGGCTGGCGTAAAACCTCCCCAGGGAGTGTGAAATGTGCATACATTGTGAGCGGGCAAGTCTGAATATGATGATCGGCTGTATAATATTTCTGTAATTTAGCGCTAAGAGAAATCTAAACTCAGACTTTTATCATGATATTAGTAGTCACGTCGGTAGTAATAATAATTTCTATTCATTTTTTTTTATTGCACTACATAGCAAGCCTATGCCTGAGACAAACCATAACAAATTATTCGTTTTCAAATGATATTAAATTTGATAGTTTTAAACCTGCAGCTTGGGAAATTTATGAACAAAATATTCATCAGCATGATCGTATGAATTAATGATTAGTTTTTTTCGGCCCTTGTACAATTTGCGATATAATGATATTAAATGCCCACTTGCAGGCCAATTAATCAATCACGTTAAGTGACGTAGAATTGTATGCATCATTCTTTTTGAGGTTAGGTCCAGGGTTGAGGTCAGGAAATAGGTTAGCGTATAAAATTACTACAGAGCAAAATTGTCTCGGGAGTAACATTTACTTATTACCACTCCAAGCTTCAATTTACGTGAGGACATTTTCATCATTATCATCATCATGGTCATGATACGAGAAGAGGTATATCCTGTAATCCTCGGTCACTTCTTCAGGGTTGGTTATGTTCTATACCGTGTGAGTAAAAAAAAAGTTTACACCTAGAAAATTGCTAATTATTTTAAAAATCATATATGAACAGTAAAGTATTATGCATCTTATGAAAGAGTGTTTTATCCCAAATCGTTTGGTATCATTTTTGTGTGGTATGTGTTTACGCTTGAATGAACATGAGGCATTGTTTACGATAGTGCAAAAATCGACTTGCGCCAAAGTGATGCCTACAGCATGTATTATGTTGGGATTAGCGGAGTGAGAGAATGAATTGAATGTATCAAAGGAAATGCATTGGATATGCTTTTTGCAGGACCAAATTTACACACACACACACGCGCACAAATGTACGTTGATATTTGATATTCGATATTTGATATGTGTGGTATGATTAATTTTGTTAGGGATGTTATTTGGATCTGCAAAGACCGAATTAATACCCAAATCCCAATTGTTTTATTCAAACATTACAAAAGCAACTTTGGCGCAAATCGATTTTTTGCACTCTCGCAAACAATGCCTCGTGTTCATCCAAGCGTGAACACATACCACACAAAAAGATACAAAATGATTTGGGATAAAACACTCTTTCATAAGATGTATAATTATTTACTGTTCATAGAGGATTTTTGAAATAATTAGCAATTTTATAGGTGCAAACTTTTTTTTGACTCACACTGTATACACGCACTATATGATTTGAATTATTGTCTTCAAACATAAATTAGCACCAGAGGTAATCATCAAACCGATCATCGCTCCAAAATCCGAGACTGTTTATTATTTTCAATAATTTCAATGTCAACAAAGGTTTCCTATGGTGATGATATTCTTTTATTGTATTACTAGCATAGAGCGAAACGGATTGTCCTTCCGGACCCGTGATCATGTCATAATCTCATTAATTTATTTTTTTAATCATAAAAGATACTAAAGGCTATGTGAATTTAATCACCAAACAACATCCATTCTCCCCTCTCTCTTTCTCTCTCACTCTCTCTCTCTCCCTTTCTCTCTCTCTCTCCCTCTCTCTCTCTCCCTTTCTCTCTCTCTCTCTCTCTCTCTCTATCTCTCTCTCTGGAAAACGGGGTGGGGTTAAGGAGTTACATCCGTGATACTGGTGTGGTGTATTTCTCTAGCGCGCTCTCTCTCTCTCTCTCTCCCCCTCTTTCTCCCTCTATATCTCTCCCACTTTCAATCTCTCTCACACACACTCTCTCTCTCTTTCTCTCTCGCACTAAGACTTTCTCTCTCTCCCTGCCTCTCTCTCTTTCTCTCATTTCTCACCCCTTTCCCCTCACTACTCATTGCTCTTGTAAAAAAAAAACACTTACCTCTATTGGCTCCCTGTACTGAACCGTACAGAAGAAAGGAAAGGCACAACCAGATCTTGTATTAAAGAGAGAAAATATTCACAAAAATCAAGTTAAGGGGCTATTGGTGGGATTAAAGTACTTTTAAAATAATCAATTAAGTACATTTCAAAATGAATGAAAACAAGGGGGATACGCCCTTAAGACTTTGTGGGAATAATGTATGGGCTAATACTGCGAACGTAAAATGTATACAGGTAGATGTGAAGTCAGAATTTCAAGTCGTCATTTATTAAACTGTGTGCTCATACAGTAAAGAGACCCATTCAATGAATTGTTCCAAAATTGAACAAACCCATTGTTCGTTTCATGAAATCCATGGTAACCACATCGAAAGCTGGCATGAAGTCTACCAAATAAATCATTTGTATTTTCAGGCTCAAAACTTTGGAACTCTCTTTCAGATCCAGTTAGAAATAAACCTACATATTATAGTTTTAGTAGAGTGTTCAAAAAGAATTTAATACAAGAATATATGTCTCCTACGGGTTAAACTTCTCACCTCTCCCCTGTTTCACACACTCTCTCTATTTCTCTCTCTCTCCCTCTCTCTCTCTTCTTCTAACTTCTGTTGTGTGCAGCTTTGTTTTTTTGTCTTGTTTTGTCCTTTCATGTTTTGTGATGTCTTGTCTTATCTTATTATGTCAGTTTCCTGTCCTCCGTGTCCCGTTTTGTCATTTTTTTGGTTGTATTTTTTTGATTATTTAGATAATTTAAAATGGTTTATGAAATATGTTATTATATTAAATCTATTTTACTGTGATTATTAAGACACTTAAAATGATTATGAAAATAATGTTCATATTATATTTATTCTTGGGAACCTACAAAAACAAGCTATGCTTTCCAGTAGGTTTCTGTTTCATTTCATGATTTTTTTATCCTACTTTGTCAACTATGTTCTTTTAATATTGTGCAAACAATTGTTATATGAAATGAAAAATTAGAAACAAGCAATCAATCAATCAATCAATCATAAAAGCTCCCTGAAAATGTTTCAATTTTATTTAATTTATCATAAAGTAACCTTATATTAAAACCACTTAATCTTTTTTTGTAAATATCCAACCTGGTTATCATTCACAATATTTGATATGAACTTTTAAGACTGCAGCAGCTATTTTGTAGTCGCAGTTTAACAGTGTCACTGGCCGCCATTTATTTAAAATCTTAGGACAACCTTTTTTAAACAACAAAGTTATCAGCACTTTTATTTGCGAAACAGATAATTGCATTACATAATTATGAATTATTTAGGGTATCGACTAAAATCTGAACTATTTCGTTCCAAAAAGTTTTATAGAATTCGATTTTGGCCTCCATCTATAACACTTAACAGGTGATTTATTGTTTTTCAAACTAAAAACTACTTTTTAAAATTTCCTGTTTGTCATTAATCCTTCACAACTCTCTTTATCTTTATCTTTAAGTTTAGGACATTCATCATAACACAATATATCTATTGACCACTCTTACTATTTCTTGTTGATTTCTTATCAACCTATTTTTACCGTCCTGTGACTTCTATTCTGTTATGACATTTGTTCTTACCATGCATGTCGTTTTCCTAGTGACATGAAATATATTGTGTTCTTTTCACCTTCGTCCATCCCTCTAACTCGATTTCTTATACCAGCTCCTTTTCATAATTTTTGTTTTTGTTTTTATATTTGTTCTTTAACTAACTCATATACCTCTAAAGTTTTTGGATCTCCTTCTACTAATTTCACACTTCAGAAAAAACAAATCTTCATCGCTTACATATTTTTAAATAATATTCTAAATTCCATCTTGGAATGACTCATCCTCTAAAAGAGAAACATTCAGTTTCCAATAACTAGGACCTTTTTAATACACCTTTCCCCCATTCTTAATTTCAGCAAAATGGCATTGTGGTCACTTCTTAAAATTGGGCGTATGTCAGAAGACGCCACCAGTGGTAAAGATTCATCTCTGATAAACCCATAGTCTCACCTTGTAGCTATCTTTAAAGCAATATTTCTTCAAGTAAATTGTTGCAAATAGTTATGATGTTTCCTCCACACATCTGCTAACTTCAGATTTCCGAATAGATTGTTAAAAGTGGTCGGTTTCTCGTTTGTCATTTGTCGGATTCATTATACAATTCATGACTCCTCCTATCATTAAAGCCCAAGTCCACTCCAAAATAACTTACTTTCAATAGAACCAGATAAAACAGACAAACCAATCAAAAAATGTTTGAGCAAAATCGGGTAACTAATAAGAAAGTTATACATTTTTAATGACATGAAAAACTTTGAAAATCACTACACAAATTGGCAACTCACTCATGAGTCTGTGACGTATGGTCCTCACTATCCACTAATTATTTTCTTTATATTGATAATATAAATGTCCTTTTTTCACCCTAAGAATCTTATTTCTTCACACCAGCATCCAAGTTAGATTGTTAGTAATATGTTTTTGTGTGGATGCACAAATAAAGAGTAATTTTTGTCCAGTTAAATTTTGAAAAACTGAATCTTGATAAACTATTTATATAAAAATCATTAATTATGAAATACAATATTCAGAAAATAGTATCAATTCTTAGAAATTCATAACATTTTTTGCGAAATGTCATGCACGCAATATGATACAAATCATATAACCTGGGCAAAGGCATGTGGGAATCAAGTTTTGGGGTTCAAAAGGGAAATTAATGGGATTAAACTATATAAAGCAATTGATAAGTTGTGAGGACATGACGTCACAAACTGATTCTTATTGTTCTATGTTTGTACATACTTTTTCAAAAATTCATAACTTTCTTATGATTTATCCGATTTTGCTCAAACTTTTTTTGATTGGTTTGTCTGATTATTCTGCTTTTATTGAAAGTAAGTTTTTTTTTGGAGTGGACTTGCCCTTTAAGTGCCTTTCACTATTTTCCATTACTTTTTCAATACAAGTGTGAATTTTTATAAAAGGAGTCTTTGCACCTTCTTTCGGTTGGTGCATATATATTTTAAAAACAAAATTACAATTCCTATGGTGCCGTTTAATCAACAATATTCGACCATCATCATCGGCAAAAACATACGTTACATCTCCATTCACTCTAAACAAAAAGATAGTATCTCTTCGCCCTAAATATATAACATTTTCAAGGTCTCTGGACCAACGAGTCTTTTGGACAAAAAAGACCATCACCTTTTTGGTGTTTAAACAGACCAGAAAAGCTTGACTGTGTTTTTTATTGTTGCGCACACCACAGTAAATGACATGTGTTAGACATCAATCAATTGGGGGGAAAAAGAAACACAAATAATCTCTTTAACAAAATCACTCTTTTTCAGTTCCATCACATTCATTGACAAAATAATTTCTTTTTTTGGTATGTTCGATGGATATATACATCACGATCATAGTCATAATCAGAATAAAAGACTTACCAGCACTGCTCTTTCGCCAGTCGCCATCCTGTTAGTAACGCTTCCCAAATACAGTAACCTTCATCCAATGCTTGGCTAGCTCTTCAGGTAGGGACCAAACCGTCAAGACTGATCGAGTGAGGTTTTTGTTTTCAATTTCAATTAATAGGGATTTTTAGATTTGCGCGTTGATATAATGGACTGCTACGTGTGACGTCCTCAAAGCCAGTGCTTTAGAGGTGTGACGTCGTCAATGCCAGTGCCTTAACAGGACGTCACACGTAGCAGTCCACAATGTCGACGAGGAAATCTAAAAGTCCCTAAATAATCTTAGTCTATTACGTCCCCCGTCAAATTATATTGGTCAAGGTTCGTAAAAACGCGTCGTGTGACGCACATAAACCTAGGTTTGTCGACAAACCTCGTTTGTGAATTCGGGCCTTTATGTGGTGGAAGAAAGTAAGAGAAGGAGAGGAGAGGATGATAATATGAGAAGGGCGAGAAAGGGAGGAGGAGGGGAAACAAATAGGGAGAGAGAGAGAGAGAGAGAGAGAAAGAGGGTGGTAGAGGGAGGGTGTAGATAGGATAAAAAATAACTGAGGGGAAAGATAAATGAGAAAGAGGGCTAAAGCAGGGTAGGGACAGAGGGATTTACGAGTTTTCCCATTCTTTTTTGTATGTCAGCTAGTTAGGGAGATCATTGTAGAAATATTCCCTGTAAAGGATAGCATTTCAAAATGCCGTCTTAGACGAAACATGATGAGAAACAATTAAATAGTTAGAACCGTTCCTCCGTGTCATTGGTCTGCGTAGTCCCACATAAATTATACCCATTCTTTAGAGCAGTGCGTTTGATTTTTAGCAAGATTAACTCAATTTCTGATCTTTTAACGATTATAAAATCTCAGATTATACATCAATTCTTTCCCAGTTGCTTCCACTAAGGCATTTTCGTCATGATTGCATTTCCATTAGACCTACTTAACGTTATATTTAAAGACGACGTCCACTCTGGCATCTAGTAGGCTACTAGTAGGCTTGAATAAGAGCATACAATTGAAATATCATATTATCGGAAACTTTAGGAAAAACAGATAAAGAATAGAAAACTAGAGTTCGGCCAACAAATAATTTGGTATTTGTGATAGAGGAAAAATTACCCAAATGCCGTCAGAAGGGTTCTGTACACTGTGAAAAGGTTGGGCAATATTTTTTCAACACTTTGCCCAACGTTGTGCCAGTAGTCAACCCAACCATCTATTGGGCAATATTTTGCCCAGTGGTATTGGTATTAACATAAGTACCCTACTTCACACGTGCATAATTGTTTCGTATTTTGACCAACATTTGGGCAAAGATATGACCCTTCAACTGCCTGACTACGGTAGCCAACTTGTTGGGAAAATCTTGACCAACTGTTGGGCAAAATACGAAAATATTGCCCAATAGATGGTTGGGTTGACTATTGGCAAAGTGTTGGAAAATATTGCCCAACCTTTTCACAGTGTAAGACTGACATTTCTGGGTATCAGCGATTATTTTATACTGGATAAGCTATTCAACCCTTTCCCTCATCCAAAATGACTAAAACGGTTAGTATTGGGTCCCAAAGTGGCAAAAATCACCAAAATATCGTGAAATGGTCAGTACGTAAAACTGGCATGTTTGGAATCAGCAAAAGAAATTACCCCGGATAAGGTATTCAAACCTTCCCCACCAAAATTGTTGATTATTAAAGCCCCTTTAATTATTTCTAATAATAAGGTATTCACTGCAGAGTGCAATTCCAATTGAATTGTTTCATCTAATTTCGAAGGCGCGTATCCTCATTTAATAAAGTGATCACCTATTGAGAAGGAAAACAACCTTTTAATGCATCTTCGATTGTGTTGGTGATATAAAACACAATACACAACAACTTCATTGAAGTGAGCAGAATCTATTCCTGCGTTGTAGCCTCGGTTTCCTTTGTGTACATACTAATCCAATAAGTATAATGCATACAACCTTAGCATGCTAACGTTTCCAATTTTTTTCATGGACAAGCCTTGCTATTTAAGTTGTTTTTAATAAAAGCAGACACATTAAAGAAACGCTTCAGTGAAAGTACCGGTGTTGAACAAAACACAAGGTGACAACGCCGTAATTTTATGAGACCTTCTCCCAATAGCTCTGCATAGGAAATTAGATAAATTGCCATTTCGGTTGTAGATGAATGAAAATAATATCTATTTTGTAAACTCAGGGCCGGGTTCATTGCACGATGTATTGTGCACTAATTAACTAGGGCCTATAGATAATTGAATTTATCTCCAAAGTAAACATATTGTAAGAATAATGAGTTAAGAATCGTTTTAGTAGAAAGCAATTAGGAGAGGGGTTAGTAAAGTAAATCGAAGAGTTGCCTATTTTGTGTTTGATCTTTCACGACTTCCATAAGTTCTCAAAACTTTTGTTATCAGACTATTCCTAAAACTGTCACCGATCTCTTTCTTCCATTCGCATGATGAAAGCCATATAGTTACAATATCTTTACTTTGGAGATAAATTGTATGGAACCCGGCCCTATAAGAAATAGATATTATTTTCCTTCATCAACAACCGAAATAGAAAATCATTAATTTTTCTATACAAAGCTAATGGGTGAAGGCCTCGTAATATCACAGCGTTGTCACCATGTGTTTAATTCAATACCGGTACTTTCACTGATGCCTTTCCTCACTTGTCTGTTTTTATTAAAAACAACTTTGATATCAAGGTAGACTTGTCCATGAAAGAAAAGTGGAATCGTTGGCACACTAGGGTTGTATCTGGGGGTTGTATGCCTTAGAGTGATCAAACAAGTATGTACACACAAGAAATCAGGCTGTAACGTATGGATAGAGTCTGCTCACTTCAATGGAGTTTTTGTGCATATTGTATATTATTGACTGCTATGAGAGGCATCGCTGTTTGTATAGGCTCAAGGGGACGTTAATATCCTGCTATTTTCCCCGAGGTTCACCGGGTAACGTTGCCGAGAGCCAGTAAAGAAACAGCTATGCTTCTTTTATATACCGAATTCACAACAAAAAAAAGAAATTCTGCAAAGAATGCTTACCTTATCCTTTTTCTTAAATACAGACTGGTTAAAACAATACCTCCAAACAAACTGAGACACTGTCTGTATATCTCCGCTGGAAAGTTGCGTGAAGGTTACAATCACATACATTGCGCTTTTTTCGTATCCGCGCACGCACAAAGAAACTTTTTACACGTAAACCAATGGGGATCTCAGCAAAATGTATTTAAGCGGCCCCTTACCGGGGGCACCAGCCATCTTTACAAAAAAAACTATTGACCGGTAGGCGGGCATGCGGCCATCTTTTAAAAACTATGGACTAGTAGGCGGGCATGGCTAAAATAACGACTCCAGTTTCGACCAATCAGATGACTAGATGTATTCAAAATATTAAAGAGAAGTATATAATGTTTTATATCACCATCAAAGATGTTTTAAAATGTTTTTTTTTTAATAGGTGATCACTTTATTCAATTAGGATACGCGCCAGGGGATACACGTTGAATATTGTAAATTATAATTATTATTATTATCATCTTTATTAATCTCTTTTGCTTCCTCCTGTTCTCGCCCTTCTCACGCTCTCTCTCTCTCTCCCCTTCTCTTTCTCTTTTTCTTCCCCCTTTTCTCACCTCTCTCACATTCTATCTCTCTCCCTTTCTCTGTCTCTCTCTCTCTCTCTGTCTCTCTCTCTTCCTCCCTTTTTCACCCATTCTGATATTCTCATCCTCTCCCCTCCTTCCCTTAATATCTCCCACCACATAACATATTTGACGGGAGACATAATAGACTTAGAAAAGCTAGTCAATCATTAGATGAAGATTATTTGAGCAGCGTTACTAACAGGAAGGCGACTGGCGAAACATCAGTGCTGGTAAGTCTTTCATTCCGATTATGAATATGATCATGACGTGTATATCCATCGAACATACCCAAAAAGAAGTGATTTTGATAATCAATGTGAACTGATTTTTTTTTTAAAGATGACTTGTGTTTCTTTTTCCTCCCTAATTTATTTATATGTCTAAAACATGTCATTCATTGAATGTAAACTCAAGAGGTATGCGCAACAAAGACAAACACTCACTGACAGGTGGTCTACACACAAAATGGTGAAAGTCTTTTTATCCAAAAGACTCGTTGGTTTTAAGTTCTTGAAAATGTTATTTAGAGTGAATGGATAGGTAACGTGTTTTTCTGCCGATGATGATGGTCAACTATTGTTAATTAATGGTCAACATAGGAATTTTCATTTTGTTTTCTAAATATATATGCACCAACAAAGGAAAGGCACAAAGATTCCTTAAAAAAACAAATCACACTTGTATTAAAAAACAATGAAAAAGAATAAAAGCACTTAATAATAGGAGGAGGTATAAACTGTGTAATTGATTTGATTGATTTATTTATGAATCCGACAAAGGACAAACGAGGTGCTAATAGCGTATATTACAAGAAACCCACCGCTTTTAAGAATGTCTGAAGTTAGATAGAAATGTAGTGGTGGTTATTTTACCTGACTGCTAAGAAAGCATAAATGCTTGTTAACCCTTACTGAACTGGGCTATTTTGAGCACCTCACTAATAGGGGGGCTGTGAGCCCCCCTATGATTTCGGCCGTCGGATGTCCGATGAACACGAAAATGTGCATGTTTGTAGATATTTACGTAAGGAACAAGATGGTATAATTGTTTGTTTTCCTAAAATGCAAATTGTTGTCGTTATAGCCTAATGAATTATGCAAAATGCTAATTGTATGTATTTTAGAGAAAACTCTAAATATTTGTCTGTAGACTTGTGAAGAATCTTGAAAATGTATTGAATAAATGTTTCCTTCATCTCAAATTCATGAATACGCAAATTACGCATTCATGAATATCAAATCTGGAAATATACAGGGAACTAAAATTATAACAAAAAATGTCAGACTCCACGTTTTTTATGTTGAAACTCATTATGAATATGAAAGTTCTATTTTTTTCTAACACAAAATAGTTATATTTATGCAAATTTAATGCGATTTTCAAATA